AGAGCCAGGACCAGCAGTAACATCATGCCTCTCACAGAGCATCTGTCTCAGAAATGGAGAACCAAAGATGAACAGTGTGAGGATTGGAATATAAAAAAATGTTGCATTCTCTGTAAAAACTGCATGCACGTTATGTATCGTGTGTGTATGTGGGGGGGGGTAAGGGGGCGTCCTGTTGAGCCACCCATGAGAGCGCGGGGGCTGCTGTATTGTCTGTTGTTCCGTTGCAGATGTCAACAGTGTGTCAGGTCTGGATCTGCGGCAGACTGGCAGACAGTCCCTCTCCAGCCAGCAGCCAACCAGCCTGTCAACAACACTTGCTGCTACTAAGAGCATAATGTTCAGCCTGCTGTGCCACTTTGGACACCATGGGGGCTTGTGGATCTTTCTCTCCGTCCTTTCTGCCTTCACTTTTTTTCCTCCTTCCGTCTTCTGCAGCTCCTCCCGAGCTGAATTGTGTCTTTAGTCCAGGCGACATGCCAAGCAAATAGGGACGGTATTTGAATACCTCGGGTTGAAAATAAAACCCCTGTTGCATTCTGGGTGAGAAGGGATCACTGTATTCGGGGGGTTGAGGTGAGAGACGTACACGGTGATGTCACTTCCTGCGTCCACCGGGAGACAGTCTATACCACAGTGTTGTTCGTACCCATGGCCTTCTTGTTGCGGATGCTCATGGCGTATTCCCCGCGACTCGTCCCGTTCTCCTCTTTCCGTAGTGGTTTCCTGCGAATAAACATTTTCACAGAGTGAGAATGAGTTCCTTGCCAAGAGAGAAGTGACGCTACATTCACCCTCAGCTAAAGGCCACGTCATTAAAACAGAGTTTCTGGACTGTTAACCTTTGGGCTGATTTGATTTCTCAGGCTGCTCTGGATGGATACGCTGGTCTCAGCGATCCTTTCTAATAAGCTCAATGTTCAAAGGTCACTTTTGCAAGGAGACAGGAGGGAAGGATGCTTTGCAACACAGGGGATAAGGCAATTACCTACTCTGACTGGTAGATGCAATCTTCCTGCTAAGTAATGAGTGTGTGTGCAGCTCTCAAAACAACTTGGGAATAACATCGATACATAACCGCCTCGTGAAATTCCCTCTCAACGCAGGCTGTGCTTTAATACTCGGGTCCTTTTTGAGAGTACGTTCTGGTGCAAAATAAAGTGCCGACACATGATCCCCGTGCTGCTACTGGCCTGTGAAGAGCAGTATCATTCAATGCCGCCCTTTTCATGCACTCCTCTGTGCCTTTGTGGTTATTATATTTGTCCAGTGTACTGTGGCTTCTGCACCGACCCCCTCAGCTGCTCTCCCCTGCTCCGGCTTATGTAACTCGGAGACAGATCTGAATACAGTTAATACAGTCATTGTCCCGTTCAACACTGTACAGTGCCTTCACTGGCACAGCGGACCCTTGAGCGACATCTTAGGTCAGTGTCTCCTCTCCTAGCCGCTGAAAGCCGCGGATAGCCGGTCCAACTTTGACGAACAGTCATTCTCAGTCCAGTCCAGCACAAATCGTTTTCCTTTCTCGGACACAGTGCCGAGAGGGAATCCTTATAGGGCCAAATGAGCACATTTCCCAGACATCATGTAATCCAGTACAAACACACTGCAATAAAAACATTGTGTTAAGTTCACTCTGTTTAGTTTCTGTGGAGACTGTGTCAGAGATGTGAGGCTGTAAGTACTTTTTTAAAGAGAGCATGTAGTTTTTGAAAGAAGGAAGAATGTACACATCCTCTTATGGACGAACATTTAAATTCATAGGTTAAATAAATGCGCTGTTGCTCAATTCAATTCACCTAGGGTCACATTTATATACCGTCTTTGGGCTGTACCTTTAAGACTGTATTCTCTCTGTTACAACTTAATGTTGTTTCTATTAATATCAGTATTTCCATGGTGGTGGTGTCAATCTACTAAATATTTAATCAAGCACATGGACGTTCCTATTTATTCACAATTCCTGAGCTGTCATCTCAATTTGTCAGCTGTCTTTTTCTGTTGATCCTGTTCACTTCCGCCAATCTGATTTGGCCACCCCTGTTATACAACCATCTCTCTGCTGTCAGGTTTTAAACCTGCTCCTGTCTCAGCTGTTTTCAGCTGTCATGTCAGTGCTGTGCTTCACCTCCGTGCCTCCACCTCCTGTGCTCATCAGAGCTCCTCAGAAATCGTGCTCAGTTCCACTCCATCCAGTTTTTTTTCTTTCCCAGTGGTGGAATAACTTACATCTGTTGTTCATCTAATCAGGATGTTTACCAGTTTCACCATGATGAAAAAAATGACAGGGGAGTCTGAATAATATACAATCTAGATATATTTCTAAATAGGTACGTTTTAGCCGCGCTAACCATGTGGAATGCCAATTTCAGTCTGTCAATCAGCGCAACACTTACTAAACTTACTAAAATATATTTTATTACCACTATGACATTTATTTCCATTTTACACACATTCATGGTCCCTGGAAGACAAATGCTACTGACTCTGCTTGTCTCCTGACTTGTAGCCTCACCACTATAATTCACATTTGTGGATATAAGTGAAATGTTTCAACAATGATTTAATGGATTGGTGCAGACATTAATGGTCCCCTTGGGTGAACTGGTACCCCACTTTCTTTTCCTCTAGTGCAATTCTGACATTTGCAGAAGTTAATGTCTTACCAAATGTCAGATTGAGACACATTTCTGTTTTTCTTCATTCATGTCTCCATCAGGATGAACTGTGGTCACTCCTTCACTTTTCAATTAGTGCCATAATCATATCTAAATAATACATTTTATTGGCCTACATGATGACAGTTGACGTGACAATTTCTAAACAGTGAACTGTAATCATTGTTATCGCCCTCTGGTGGCTGGCTGCAGTGCTGATAAACCCTATCTCCTCCATGTTAGTGACTGGGACATGAACCAAACTAAAAAGTCAAAGTGCACATTGAATGAAATTGTCTTTCATTTTAGATAAACATCACACTGATGTTAATAGTGTTTATTTTCTATATTTGATTTTATAAAAATGGGGTTAAACATTGATTGACAGCTGAAGCTGACCGGCGATACCACGGCCCCTCCAAACAATCACTACTCTGCAGACTTGGCTCCAAATGAAGTTCAAGATTGTGGCACTCGTGTCCAGGATATTTTGTCAGGGATGGAAGTGGAGGAACAGGAGGAAGTGGGGATGCATCATCCATCTTTATAAAGGCCACAGTCTATGGCATCAAACCTGCTTAGCATCAGCATGTCAGGACTGTCATTGTGAGCATGTTTGCATGCTAATGTTATTAGCCTAGTAGCATGGTAGCATGGGCGAGCATGGAGCATTGCTGAGATAATACAAATAAAAAGTGAAAAATAATATGAAATCTTCAATTCTAATTAAAGATGAACTGTGTGCACTGAGCTTTCTTGTATTGCAATAGTCTCAGATTGATTTAATGCCTAATATTTTGTGTTGTTGTGTTGATGTATTAATAAGATGTTGACCAGTAACTATTGCCTAAAATAGACGACACTGCACTGCAGACAAAGTTGCAAACAAACTGTGAGGCTGTGACTAAGACTTCCTCCGGGACAGTCAGCTGTGAGGGGTCGTGTGGCTCAGGACACCGGGGACACATGCTGCAGGACAGATGCAGCTTGCCGTGTCCCGGTGGGACCTGGGGAAAGCCTGAGAAAGGAAACTGTCCAGCTGCGGGGTGGAAACACATTCTGCTGTGGGGGGCGATGATTGGATGATGTAGCTGCAGCTCGGGGAGCTGGGATATACCAAAGTTTTCTCTGTGGGACAGATGATACTGTTTATAGCCAGTGTGGGAATTCTTCTACTCAGAACAGTGAGTCAGTGCAGTCGATATTCATTTAACGTTACGCAACGTCCCTGCACTCACTAATATTTTAATTTTGAATATTTTTTGACAGGTTGGTATTTCATGTCATGCTGTAAAGTCAAGTCTGACACTGGGGATCTACATCCTGAAGGTGCTTCAGCCCTGTTTATTTCTCCCAGGATGTAATCTCCACTCACACTGCCCATGTCGCTTGGGGCCACCATACAGGGCAGAGCACTGGGGCCTCAAACCAACCTCTACCCAGACGTTCAATAATAGATGCCATGCTGTTGACACATGGCAGGTGGCAACACAAGACTTCACAGGTTGGATGAATATTTCATATCGAAGCTGTGCAATCACAGCACACTCTCCTGTTTGAAGTTTGGGGAATGGATCACGTCGAAATTGGGACATGTGTTGAGCTGTTTACAGTTACTCCAGCCATCTGGAAATTAGAGTAACATGTCATGGTTGAAAGAATAAGTATTAGAAAACAGACTGTAGAAAGCTGTCTGCAGTTTTGATGTGTGCTGGTATAGTCATTTTGAAAATGCAACAGAGGGGATTAATAATGTATCAGTAAACATTGGATTTTAAAGCATTTTGTTCCTTTTATTGTATCTGCGGTTGGAGTGTTTTGGATGTGGAGTATCACCTTTGGACAGGACCAGCTGTGATGTGTTATCCGTCTTTGGACGAGCCTCCCAGAGTGGGAAGTGATTGGGAAAAGCGACGAGCTTCATTAGTCAGTTGGGTTGAGTTTTGTTTGTTTTGGCTCCTTGCGTGGCTGACAGCCCGGACTGCAGCATCATGTCTCTTGCTTCGGATGGCACAGCAACACTGAAACCCAGCATGTGTCTGAATCCTCTTCTCTATGCTTGCACACACCAGCCTCCCTGAGTGCTGTGGACTCTGAATAGAATCGTATGGAAGTGTTTCTTTCTTCTCTCCAGCCCTCTTTGCTTCTGACAGATGACTGGCAGACAGAGATTACAAAAAATAACAAAAGGCCAGGAGGGCTGGGACCTGCAGGGCTCGCTGCTCTGCTGTCTGTGCCGCTCGGGCCTTGGCCCTCGGCCAGCTGATTTTCATTGGGAAAGCCCGGAGCACTGAGGGGCTGGAGGGCTATATATAACTGGCTGTGTTTTTCTCACTGACAAATCCTCTCTCACATTGTTATTGACTTAGATGCTCAGTTACTGCCATTGCTTGCTTTGCTAGACAACATTTTATCCATCCTTCTCTCTGTGTTGTTTCCTCTCCCCTCCTCTCAATGGACGGTTACAGAATCCATGACAAATGTTTGAAAGAACCACATTTTTTCCCTGGATTTCCTGGCTGGTGACTAATGAATGTGTAATAAGGCTAGTCTGGCTGGACCTGTGTATTTCTCCCCCTGCTTGGCGTGGCACAAAGTCTGCAGTCTAGAGCCCACAGAGCTTCAGGACACGACCTGCTTGCATGTATAAAAGATGTGGCCTGTGACTGAATGACTGCGCAAATTAATTCATAAATAATGACTTGGGTTTGGGGCTAGAGCCCGTATTGCAACAACACTTTCCTACCACTGCTGCATTAAAAAAGGTGCCCCTTGGCTACACAGGGGGCTGGAGAATTGCCATAATGAATTCCTGAGCCAACTACCCATTACTTCCACTGCCTGACTTTGCCTATTTGTTGTTTAAAGAAAGGAGAGATAGAGTTCTGCTGAGGGAAGCCATATCTGGGATTGGGGCCTAATATAGTCCCATAAATATAATAAGGTAGGACACAAAATCTATTTAAACATGCATTAATAAAACATAAAAGTCGCTCCCTAATTTAGCACACACCTCTGTGGCTGCTCTCACATGAGTGTGTGAAAGTCTGTGTTTATGCCATGTTTTATAGAGTGTGTAAATATGCCACAATGATGTATGTATGTATGTTAAGATGCTGTGTGTATATGGATGGGTGCACACAAGTATCCTCTGCATGTTTCTCTGTACATGTGCAGGGCTTTGCACGATGTGGATGTGTGTGCATGTGTGTTTGTTAAATGTCTGGGAACATTAACGTGGATGTCAGAGTGCATGTGTGACACGGTGCTGCCTGAATGTCACACAGAGAATTGGGTCTGGTTTGTGCTGCAGGCAAAACCTCACGCAGCCTTTTCTCTAATAAGCCAAATGGGAGAAACATTTCCTGCTGCAACTGCAGCGTCTTGGGATTCCTCTGCTCACCTCGTGCTTTCATGCTCCTGAATCCAGCAGCATTTCTATGAAGCTTCATACACTTATTAGACAGAAATATTTTTTTTGAAACACAGTAATTTTACTTCAGGTGGTCATGCACCATAAATTAATTTAGGATACAGGCGGTTTCTGCTGGACTCACTGTAGTGGATCTTTCTCAGTGACATTTACAACCCATTCCATTACCTAACCTCTGACCTGAGTGTGACCCAGCAGGGTGATGACAGGGTCACTGAGTCCCCTGCACCGCTCTAACACGAGACCACGAGAAATACTACAGTCTCCCATGGGTCACATTACACATGATATGTTGCGAAGCCCATTGAGTAGTTCCCATTTCAATTTGTCATCGTTCGATATATTTCGGAGTGAGATTTGACTGAAATACAACAAGAAAGGAAAGCAATGACATCCAACCTCTTGATGGCCTTGTAGCAGATGATGATGGCTGAGAGGAGGAACACCACTGAGGCACAGCCCACCGTTCCAAGCACTACAATGTCCATCTCCATCCACCAGGGCCTCAACAAGGGCACCATGGGCTCTGGCACTTAGAATGAGAGAGAAGAGGGGAAGAGAGGAGAGAGAAAGCTGAGAATTAATTTAATGTATTTAAAACAAAATTACTTACTGTGCTTTCAATGCACACAACACTGACTTTAACCATGTTGTTATATATCCTGAGTGATTGCATTATACAACACAATAACACAGCAGCATTGAAGTGATTCTCTGAGTTGGGAAGAAGCCGTGTCCTTGCCTGTTCTGTGGGTCTTAGGTTCAATGTCAAAGATATACAACCTGACACTATGAATCATTTAAGGTCCCGTCAGCTTCCTTTACACCAGCACTGTTGTTGACACCAATTTGTTGCAGGAACCTCCTGCTCTTCCCACATTAGATCCGTGGACTGAGGCCACTCACCAGGAACGTTGTATAATATTATGTGCATCAGCAACTTTGAATCTGTAATGCAGAAACTTGCCTCCTCTCTTTCTGCAGTGTTTGATGCTCTCCCACATCTATAAATCAGTTTAGTCATGTGCACATCAATCTATCGGGCCACGAATGCCAATTTGTTCCAGCTTCATGCTCCTGAGAAAATACACCGTTCTGTATATGTGAAACTCCTAACTCCTGCATGTATAGTGTTATTTTGTTATGAATGAAAGAAAGGGTTTACACCATGGCAACAAATACTCCTCGGTAATGCCGTGGACTATTTTCCAGCACAGCACATTTCTCAACAGAGCGAATAACAAGGTGCTGCTCTTCCCAGTACGGCACACCACATCATAAGTCACTATGAATTTAAAAGCGCCTCTCAGCCAAACTTCCATTTTAATCCTGCATTTTGTCAACGGCTGTAGGATTTAATTCAGTCAGTGGTACGGATCTACTCTATTGTGATGGAGCACACTCCTTTGAAAGGACTTTGGAAACCATTTTTAGCACACAGACGCTTACTTGCAGCGCCAATTTCTCCATTATTTTCCCAAGACTTTTAGCACATAGATAAGATCGCAGCCATTGTCCCAGTTTTTGAGCCATGCATATTCATTGCATTTTAAAGACTTCAGTTTAAAGCAAAATTTCTGCTCTAACCACTCCGCAAATTGGGCTACTGTGGGAGTATCTAGATAATTATGTGCCTGTATAGATTAAATTGAAAACGGGTGGGAAAAAAATTCCCTTTTAAGTGAATTATTCATGGCGTCTGCACACTGCAAACATTTCTGTGTAAAGTTAAAAAGGAATGGAAATTGGCCTGCTTATCATACTTATCGTGACACGCTGCTTGTTGTGGAGGCACCAGATCCTTGTGGATGCAGAGCTCCACTCGTGCATTGACGGTAAGTGGGCATCCAACCCCCCCCTCCACACTCACACCTTAGTTTACAGTCAGATGGTCCTGGCAGCATTCATGCAGTGACCTTGACAACAATCACAGATGGGTCTATAACTCGATTCATTGGTAGCTCACATGGTGAGTCAGGGGGAGAAAAAAGGGAGGTCCATCTAAACTGACCAGACAGAGAAAGAAAAAAATCATTGGACCTGATTGATTAAAACCTTTACAGTGCTGTCTGTTGAGACTTTGATGATGAAGTGCTCCTCCCTATTCATAACACTAAGGGCTCGGGTTGAGTGATTCTAAAGAGTCACAGTAATAGCTCAGAATGGCTGCATCATCAGCAACGCCTGTCCCATATTTCAGCGCACTGTTCATTAAGGTGCTTGAGACGCCATACAAATCATCTCAACTTTCAGCGAGCGCGCCCAATGAAATATGCTCACCTATCTGTCAGTGGATTTACCGTTTCAGAGTGGAGGGGAAGAGACTGCTGCAACAGGCCATGGATCTACACAGATATACTGTATGTGATTTGTACACAAGGACTACCATACACAACACAGACATACACACACCCTTATTGCCGGCAGCTCAACTTCAAAAACGAAGCTGGAACTACTGGGCTGCTTCATTAGCCCCTTATCTCTATCAAATTAGAGCTAATTTAATTAACTCATCTGTGTTTTAATCAGGGGTCCTCCGGGGGAAACCCTACCACTGAGCCACTGAGCTTGGCAGCCCAGCAGGCATGGATTTCACAGGCAGCTGGGTACTCCCCAAGGTCAGACCCGGAATAAATTAGTCCTGTGTTCAGCTGTCAACATCCTGCTGGCTCTATCACACACAGAAAACTAAGGCCCATGCATGGGCACTCACACATCAACTCTCAGGGGAGGGATTGAAGGCAAATTTTTCCTCTTTTGCATAAAAGGAAAAACAGTTTCTTCAGACTATTGCTTGACACGTGGCTGTAGGAGTGAGATCCAACTGTGGGGTGAGAGTGGAAAGGGTGAGGCAGACAGACTCGGACGGAGACAGGTGTGAAAACCTGGGTGTCTTACCTGATGTGCCCAGTAGCCGCGGGGGAGGCGGGGGAGGTGGCGGTGGAGGCAGGGGAGGGTATCTTCTACAGTGGCATGCCAGCTGGCACTGTTCACTAACTTTCTCCGCCACAGTCCGTGAGCATGACCTCTGGAGTTCTCCCTTATAGCGAGGGAGAGTGGAAGAGAAAGAGAGAGACATTGAAATGGCTGAGGCCCTGTCCTTCAGTGCATTACTCAGAAGTGCCATCAGCACAACACTGTGCAGCATAAATGGAGACTCTTGAACAGCTCAGCAGCCTCTCATTTGGCAGCACTGTGGACATCCTCTCAGCATTCTCTTCGTATCGCAGCTCCAGTGTTTGTTGTCACTGGGGCTGCTGGTGTATGTAGTACATGCACAATAGTAACACGTCTATGGCTGCATCAACCCGCTCCCTGGAAGAAACCACCCACCAGCAGAGTGGGCAGCAGGCTGCCCCTAGGAGTGTGCGTGGGCGGACTTGGAAACTCAAGCAGATCACATTACACATGAACCCTGGCAACACTGTGTGCGTGTGAACAACAGCTCACCACTATCTGTAGGCAGCAGCAGCACAGGGCAGAGGTTAGAATACTCATCACTAACATATGCCTGCCTGCTGCAGGGATCCTGGTGGGATAACTGAATATTGTTATCATAAAAACACAGTTGGCTACTCCATGTTCCCACCACAAAGAGAGATGAGTGTCTGTGTGTGGATGAGAGTGCACTTAGATGTAATTCTCATGCCTTAGTGGAAACTCTGCACATGCATGGCCGACTGAGGATTTAAACACACGTGTGCCATGGACTGGCGACCCCCACATACAGTGTATGCACACATGCAAAGGATTATATTATAACTGCAGCTTAATGTGTGAATATAAGTTTTTTTTTAAACAGTCAGAACCACAGTTTTAACCTCAGTAAATCAAACTCCAGCTACATTAGTGCGACCTCTCCTCATGCGTAAAGTGACAAGTGGCGCGCCCTAAGCCATGATCCTTACCTGGCATGAGAGTAAAAACAGTGAGAGGAGGCAGTGACCGAAGAATAAAGGCCAACAACTTAAAGTGAATGGCATTAGATCTTGGACCAGCATTCCTCTTTTGTCGAAGATACTAGGCAGCGTTTCCAACAGATGAATGCAGCACACATAGGCTGGAAGTGTGTGGGAAATAACCATCCACCCTGTCCACTTCAGCGGAGAGATCTGTGACAGGCGTCCCCAGAAGTAGTTTATAATGCCACAATCATTTTCCTCTTGAAATCCCGTTGTCGGTAGCATAGGACAGGCGAGCCGGTGGAGTGAGTGAAGCAAATTTTCGACCATTCACATCTCGAAAGTAGTTTTTCTCTTTTTTCTTTCTTTCCTTCTTTCTTTCTTTCTCTGGCACTCAGATGGCGACCTGGATCATGCCGGTGCTCCGCGCAATGTGAGGGCGGTGGATGGCCCGTACCTTACATCCCTCCTCGGCTCCGAGCATGAGTGCAAATGGGCCACTTAAGCCATCGAAGTTGAAGGAGAGAGGAGGGAAAAAAACCATGGGAAGAGAGATAGAGCAAGAGGGAGAGAGAGCGAGAGGGAGAGCGAGAGGGAGAGAGAGAGAGAGAAAGAGCGAGAGAGAGAGGGAGAGAGGGAGGGAGAGAGAGAAAGAAGAGATCCTCAGGAATATGGTGTGGCAGGATTCCTCACATCTCCCCCTCAACTTATCTGGGCTGAGCGGTGGATGTGCACGGGCGCGTCCGGAGCGCAGAGGCAGAGCCGCGGGTTCACAAACTGATGCCTCCCGCTCTGTGTGCCAATAACGCAGCGGGCTGTGTCAGACGGGAGCGTCAGCATCACCACCGCCGCGCACTGGATGCTGCGCGCACATCGGCTCATCCTGACAGCGCGCAGTGCTCCTACAAATTCACCCTCCGCTCCTCAAAAAGTAACTCCCCCCCCTTCATCCTCCCAAAAAGAGGGAGCGAGGTGGTAGAGGATGGAGGCTTATGGGGGGGAGCTCATGGTCAATACGAGGGCGTTTGTATCAGTTGGCTTATTTTTGTTTTGCTTGTTTGTTTGTGTGGTTTTTTTTATTTTACCATAGTGGTCCATGCAGGAGAGTATAGCCCACAATTTTGCGTGGAGGAGGCGAGTGCGTAAGGATGACGCGTCAAGTGGAGGGAGAGAGAAGAGGGAGAGAGAGAGAGAATGAGTGCAAGACGCCTACCGACTGAAAACATTGGCATGCCCATGTTTGATTTCCCTGCTAGAACACTCTGTGGTCCAATGTCCCCAAGTAGGCTGATGGAATAAACACCACTGATGTAACCTGGCATCCACTGCTTATATAGTGCTCAACAACAAAGACATTTATAAGATATTCATGAGACATTTATTTTTTAAAACTCAACTTTTACTTTATTTTTGCCACTTGCTGTGTAGCCTATATCGCCATGCTGATATAGTTTATGTGAGGAGAGTCTGTGTAGGCCAGAGGGTAAAGAGTGCGACTGCGATGGGTAGTTTTTTAAGAGCAGAGTTGCATAATGTTGTTGGTGGCCCTCACTCGGCACAGTTATGAAATTACCCCACAGCTCACAGCCATGGTACTAGAGAGCCAACGTGACAGGCACAGTTTACTGGGGTTTACTAAAACACTGTCAGAGGGAATCAGACCTCATCTTATAGTGTCAATGATAAGTACTGAGTACAATATTTGTATATTCTTGTAATATTTGCATTTGTATCTGTTATTTGACGTCACCACATTTATAAAAATCCCACCTACTATAGTCTTAGTGCTGAATTAATGGATCACAGTTTTGTTTTATGAATGTTTTTAGTCAAACATTTACATGTAAATCACATTTAACTAAGTTAGAGTTATTTTAAACAATGTTTCTCTATGTTAGAGTTATTATTCCTTTTTCTTTTTTCAAACAACCATAAAAGAAAAGTCTGAAGTCTACCAACAAGGCTCACATCTGACCAGACAAGCCAAAAACAATATGAAAAGACAAAAACCCAAGATACTACTAAACTAAACAATACACAAATAAAAACATTATCAACCTCTTAATTCTACAGAATAACATTACATACCTGATCCAAATACACATTTTGCAAGAACAAGTGGCTTTAATCTCTCATATCTATCGTTCGGGCAAGGAATGGGCCCCAGACTCCATCAAAAAGACCTTCTCTTCCAGCCACTCTATAAGTCACCTGATCATAGCTTATCATTCTACCCAGTCCTTAAAAGTGGATAAAGACCTCCAGTGGTGTAGGGCTATCCTACACCCTGTTAACAAAGCTAAGCGGCACCATATCTCTGACATTTTAACATTTCAGTATAGTCTCGTATAATCCCAGAGACGTATTGTAGGAATTTTCATAAATATATTCCAAACAATTTATTTAGGAAGGAATTGTTTCATCCTGAATAGATCACAGCTTTAAAGCTGGAACAACTAAGTGATTTTTTTTCTATTTACGACTGACAATCTAATTTCACAATAAGACAAATAAACGGTCCAAAGCTCCAGCCTGTCAATTGTGAGGATCTGCTTCTTTTCACTACATCAGATTTGATTGGGTCTTGTACTGTTTATTGGACAAACAGGACATTTAGAGACATTGACTTGAGCTTTAGAACATTTTGATTATCCATTTGGACTGTTTCTGCCATTTCACAGTCCAAATGTATAAAAATCAATCTGCAGTTTAAACAGGATTCGAAACATATCTCCCTCTGTATCGTGGAAGTCTTTCTCTGACACTGTAGACGGTCTTGTTGCAGGGTATCATGCTTTAAACCTGAGAAGTTTCTCCTCTTCTCTCCTTTCTGCTCAGCCTGTACATCTTTATTCATCGCTTATTCATGTTTCACAAACCCCACAATCATATGTCAGCCTGTTTTGTCCTCTGCTCCAAATCTTGCTCGAGAGGTGAGAGCCAATTGTGTCACTGCCTGCTTATTCCAAATAACACAAATAACATCTCGGCCAACTATTCAAACAACTTTGGATTAAGATCAATAGATTCTGCATCGAGCCCCACAGCCTTTTCCTTGCTGCCGAGCATTTATCACATCTCTTGCCTATCAAAAAGCTCTTCACAGACAGTCATGGGGTGAGCTCATGCACACAAGAGCCATGGATGACTTTTCGAGTGGAAAATCCAAAGCTGCTGTTAAACTGCATTTGCACATATACAGTAAAATGCAGAGTTTTTTAATTCCTGAGTTTTTGAAGTAAACAAGTCTAGGTTTTTGGCGTATATATACTGTGCCCAGTGGCTGAGCTCGTCCATCCTCTCCTATACAGTCTGTCCCAGTATTGATTATCTGACAAGAGGAAAGCACTACATCCTCCAGGTTACTTCCTGCTGCCTCACCTCATTCCAACAAGCAGCAGTCTGCCACAACATACATCACGGCCCCTTTTAAAGTCAGATAAGAAAAGCTCTTAATAAAATTACTGAGGTCTTTCAGTGTGATTATTCTTGCAGAGAATGATCAACAGTGTCTTTATAAGCCACCAAGAGCCAAAACATATCACTGGCATCAACAAAAAGAGATTTTAAAAGCTCACGTCAAGCATGGAGTATTAATGTTCTTAGAAAATAACTGAGCTGCTATCTTCATCTGTTCATCTCCTTTATTGAAACAGGCCAGTCGGGTTTATCACTGTGGAGGTAGATTGCCATCTAGTGGAAATGTCTGGCAACACATGACATTAAGTTGTTCCATGTAAATGTATCACAGATTAATGGCACATAAAATAATAAGCACAAGTTCGGGTTTACTCCTATAATAAAATGTCTATATTGTCCTTCGATTCAACCAGATCCAGATAAGACAGTGTTCTCGCTGTTCGGGGTGAAGATGATCCATTGCACCTATTTGCTGGGAGAGTTCTGCGGAGGTTTTTCCATCACTTTTACACTACATGGCCACTTTATGTGATACACCCACACAGTCTAATACAATCCAACACAACCGTTCTGCCATAAAGTCTGCTGAGGTCAGCCCTTTTAGAGGTTGTTGTCGAGATTGTATGTGTAGTAGGTGGTGTTGTACTGGACTGTTGAATTTAGAGGTGTTTCTAATGTTCTGCCTCCTTCTGTATTTTAATAAAAATTAAGCTTTAAATATGATTCAAGTAATCAACATATTGTTGAATTTACATATATCTGACAATAAAATCGGAACATTACAACTTCAGAAAGGTAGAATTAATAGCAGAGTTGCTCTACTGAATTGCAATAGATTGTATAGGTGTACATGCACAAACTGACCACTGAGTGTGTATTTATCACCACAACAACTTTTCACAAAGCCAGAAGACGAGGGATTAATTAGCGCTGCTGTGCCCTCAAAATCTCCAACAGCAGCGTTGTTGAGTAGAGGTTCGTTTTTGAGGTGTCACTTCAACGCCCTCCTTTTCCTAGAAATCTTTAGATGTGTGTAATGCTACACACATAAAATCTTAAACCACCCCCTGATATTTCCCCATTTATTTCTTTGTTCCATTTCACTTTGCCCTAGAGAGCTGTTATCTTTATGGATCGGTGCACTGTATATGGCTTTTATCTAATTTTGATGTATGGTTATAGCTCTCCATATTTTTTATTTCCCTTGCTCTGGTTTATCTTCCGTGTATCTTCATCTGGTCTGTCTCTTGTGCTGCTGTAATACTGACTGTCCCCACCCTGGAGCATCAATACACTGATATCTTATCTTGTTGCGGCTATTTTTGAGCAAAGAACTGATGCAGGGGACAGAAAAAGTGCCCATAGTTACAATAGAAAGTTCCACTAATGGATGTATCATGGAGAGCTTCTGCTGAAGAGACAGCCCAGACAGAGTCAGATTTCTGTTACACTACAGAGCCCCACTGGGCCTCTGCTAAATAGATTTCTGCTACAGTATCCAAACACAGGGAGGAATGATAGTCCGGTACTTTGTAACATCACCAGACACCCAAACACTTCCTGGCTGCAACCTTTTTTCAAATGGAGTCTGTGGACTCATGTGGAGTACATATCCACGTTTTTATGAGTAGCAGCTCATTATTTTTAGACAGCAGACAAAATCTTCTCAAATGTTTTGTCACAAGCTGTAAATCAAATTGACCTGAAGTAGTAAAAAAAAACAAACCCAAACCTGATTAAAGATTTGTTTTAAATTTAAGAAAAAACACATTTAAATACATATCCATACCAAAAATAAATATTAATATCAATATGGCCACATGCATAAAAACAGTGTTGCATCAAATGTTCAGGAGTTTAGCTATACAGAGCTATATTCAGAGTTTTTTTATTTTGTGTACAATCAATTAAAACTATTGGGTATTCATTACTTTGGAAAGAGCCCTTTATATCTACATCGAGAGCTGATCCTCAAACACGGAGGCAGCTATGTTGCACCGCCATGTTTCTACAATAGCTCAAAACAGACAATCCAAACACCAACTCTGAATATGAATGTTTTTATGTTACCTTAACGCCACCATAGGTTCTTCTACAT